TGGGGACAGGAGCCAGCGGCTAGTCCACTGCGAAGTTGGACCGTGGCCGTATACCAACAATCAGCTAACAATATAGCCTCAGGCAATTGGTTGATGCAGCATATTCCTTCTTTGGAGGGACGCTTGGCAGGTTGGGATGGCCTAAATGTTCCCATGCACCTTACTGTTGTTGCGAGTTTGCCCAGGTACCCAGCCTTCAACGACTCGAAGACCTCCGACTGTGGTACTGTCTGAGAGCTCCCACCATGGATTGAAATCGAGTCTATATAAGATGACTGCAGACCCGACATACTGGAGGTTAGATGAAAACACAAATCCCTTTTCCCAAATACCAGTCCTGCTTCTCAGGTAACCAAAGGTGCACCCCGTCATCATGAAAGCTTTTACCCTTACGTCTTTTGGACTTGCCCTCTCTGCTGCTCTGGGAGCATTAGCTAGTCCAGTGAGCCCTGGGTCTCCTACGTCCAATGACTTGGATGTCAGAAACGAAAACAATCACCAGGTTCAGTACCCAGGAGTAAGTCTCTAAGGTTTATTGAGGTACGAGACGAAGAGCCTGATCTTTCAAAACTAGAAGTGCGATCCAAAAACGAATCAATGCCATTATGAGTCACAAAGTGGGCTGAACGCTATTTGTCATTGCGACTTCAAAAAGGTAAACTGCCCTGGGCCCCGTTACTCCAAGAGTATGCTAATTTCTACACAAAGTGTACCGACGCAATTGAGACTAAACAATGCTATTTTGACTCTTACACTAGAAAGTGCGTCTGTCAGGAGAGGGAGACCACTCCTCCCTGAGGCGGGTAGTTCTGTGCTGCTCCTGGGTTGATTGTGAAGCAGCCACTGTGTAGAGGAACACCTACAAGTTTGCTGCATTTCAATATATGCTGTCCTGTTTTCTACACTATATCTGTATCGAGTATGACTGCTATCTCGACTTCTATAACTAGCTTCATTGTATTTTCATTTCTGCTGTGGAGTGCTACAGCACTAGAATCTAGTCTGACCAGGATTCCCCTAGATAGTCAGCGTCACTAGCCCCAGATATCAAGTCATGGACACGCCTTCTGCAGATCCCAGTGGGTCTCCTACCCTGAACGAGTGGCGTGTCACCAATAGTAGACGGGCCTGATTGGAAGCAAAAGATTGTTGCTGCCTGCCACAGAGACAGCATCTCCTTACCATACTTTATCTACTCCTCAGCCATTTTTTATTTTATAAATAATATATCCGTTGTCTAATCCCATTGCACTCGCTTTCTCCTACGTTCACCTCATTTCTAGAGATTCACTCTCGTGACCTCATCAGCAATCGGTACTGCCAGCTCATTTACGTTCCTGAACTCAAGATGCACGACTTACTAAGAGATTCACCAAGCTCACCGCCGCGGGATAGACCTTCCGGCTTCGCTGCATGCGACCCAGCGGATCTGGCGGATCTGGTGGAGGCTGCTCGAGCAGGGGATTTCGACCTCCTCCGATCTGTAGCACATAACAGAGCATGGATCGTGGGCCAAAGCTATTGCCGGAGCCGGGATTCCATTGATTCCTGCGAGCCGTATCTGCATTCTCTCTGGTACGTCTATTACCAATGCGCCAGACATGTCTCCCACGAAAGCTTTGAGCAAGACAGATGGATCCTCGACATCCTCCGGACGCGGGGACGCGGGCCTCTAACGAGGCCGGCACCGGGCGCTGGCATCGATATTGCTAGAACTCCCGATGGTACCGTCTGGAATGACCTGCCGCTCCTCGCGACGGACATGACACAGTTCTGGATTAATGACTGCGCGGCAATGGGCTCAAAGCTGCGTCTTAATGCTGCGTCCTTCCTTGCGAAGCTTGCATCCACGCGCGTTGCGAACGATCGGCTTTGCCAGATTGCCCTGATTCTTTTTCGTAATACATTCGAGGCAGTGCGCCCCCTTGGAAGCTCTAATGAGCCGGAAGATGAAGATCCTCGCCGACCAATCCATGTACTTACTATTGCTTCGTTACTCCCATCTGCATGTGCCTGGATCCGAGAAGCCGGGCATAACATCATACTCTTATCCGATGTCTCATGGAATGATTGCTCTAACAGTACCATTGGGAAAGGTGGCTTCACCTTTGTCCAGTCGGAGCTAGGTCAACGAGCACCTGATGGATTTAGTCCCTGGAGATGGTTATACTGGCTTAAGCGGTTACATCAGATTGCCGATGAAGCATCAAAAGCAGATGAGAAGATTCTTGCAGAGCAGGCCGCGAAGGCAATTGACATTATGTTAAGTCACGTCAAGCAGAGGAACTCTAAGATTCTCAGGGTGTTTGAGGCAGCGGGCGATGCTGTGACCCAGGATAAGGATTTCTTGGGTCTGACGAAGGAATGGTAGATGCGGCACAACCAGACTTGACGTGAGATCCTATGTCCAAGGACTACTGTATCCATCTTTTTCTTTCTATTCCCATGTAGCATGTTTCTAAGCCCTAGTATATGTCAAGGAGAAATTGATTAACATGGGTAATTGATATGGCTCTGTGAACCGTGAATCTCAGGTATTTCCTTGTTTACTTGTCATGGACTCAGGGTTGATGGTTCTGAGATTAAGTGCATAGATAGACTGAACTCAATCTAAGTCCCGCTTTGGGTGTCGGAGCCAGCCGAGGAATCCGGCCAAGACCAGAGCTGGTAAGCTGCCAAATCTCCAGCGTTTGACTTTTGTATACAGCCATTATGAGCTCTGTTGGATTATCAAGGGTTATTGATTCAAAATATCTAGTTGTTGCTGAGATATAAGGGAATGGTAATCCAGACCCGGGGGGAAGGGGAGGAGGAGCAGAATGGGTTCGAGTTTTTGAAGAGCAGCACCTATTCATCCTTGAGAGGCCCTTTATTTAAGCTAGTCGATCCTCATCGGTTACCAGCAGGGTTGTGTTCTCCTTTAGTGGTGGCAGTGACTGAGGTCTCCACTAGACATGGATGCATGGATCCAAAATTTGAGACACGTCATTTACTAGACAGACGCTAAAAAGGGCACCAGGGTCAAGGCCAAGCCAGACCAATGTCGCGCTAATGCATAAGCTATCACACCCTGTCCCAAACTGTCGGGTCCACGCAACGTAATCAATGTTGCGACCAGGCCAGTTTGAACTGGGCTCGCAGCTCGGCGGGTGTACGAAAAAACTTGCCGGGTGTCGGTGAAAAGTAGGTCAGCGGGTGTCGATCCATGAATTAATTTCAAAGTGTATGGCTATGGCACCTGTTCAGCATATGCCTTGGGGGAAACCCCTCGGAGCAGGGGGGCACTAGCCGGGCAACCGGCCGGCGCTAACTACCATGCCTATATTCTAAGATACCACCACCACCACCACCCCAATTTTCAACCCTCTCCGACCGCGAACACCAACCACTAAAGGTTTAGTTTTGAATAGTATTAAATTAAATTATACACCTAACGTGATCACTCAATATCTATAAATTTATGCTTATTATGTATATATTCATTCTACCATAGTAAGCATACTATAGAGTATACACACAATAAATTAAAATACTATATAAAGAAATTAGTTAAATAAAGTAGAATTTTATAATCATCCTTGATATTACGCATACAATGAGTATAAATTTATAGATAGTAGGGGGTGGTTAGGGTAGGTATGCAATTCGAATTTAATACTATTTGAAATCAAACCTTTAGTGGTTAGTGTTCATGGTCAGAGAGGGTTAGAATTAGTGTAACAGTGATGATAGTAGGACAGAATGTGACCGACACCCTCTAAGGTCCAATGGTTGTCGAAGTTAAGCCAGGTTTTCCCGACACCCGGCGAGTTTTTTTCGACACCCGCCGAGCTGTGTCCCTGTTTCAACTACTCTAAGTAACCACATCCTCCTCCGCCCTGATTTACCTGTTGGAACCATGAGCAAAGGTCTTATGCACACCAAGCCTACATGTCCTTAATCGGCTCTTTGAGATAGCCTTACCTCCTCATTGAGCTCAGCCTGCCCAGGTGATCGGATCTTCCTATGATACTGTTAGACGTGGCAGGGAAGGAAATGACTCACTCAAATTAGTCTGGGCGTCAGGCCATCCAAAAGGGGCCTGGGCGATGGCCCAATTGGTTGGCTTGGAAATTGCACGTGTCACGCACATAATGGTTAGGTATGATTGTGCTGTGTGGACTACCATAAAGTAGCAGCACAACGCAGCCAATACCTGTCAGACCCAATCAGACTACAGTACAGCAGGACGGTCAGGGCGTGCTAGAGGGAAGACCTGGACCTCGCGAATGTACCGCAGTACCCCACAGACAGCTGGAGCTGGATAGATACTATAGGCAAGATGTATTATTCTGCGGAAATTGCGGACCCCTAGTATAATACCCGACTTGGGAGGATTTTGCTTGGCAGGAAATCGAACATATGCGCGTTTGATCCTTTACATGTGCCACCCGAGAGAGGCTGTGACAAGCCTTTAATGGCTGTAGCATTTGCAGTCCCCGTTGGTCAGTATGTCCCGAGTATTATGAATAGAATGAGGCTGTCCTTCAATCTTGAGCTGTAAGACCCAATAACAAAGTGGTAGGGTTAGCGGCGTCATGGATAATTACTACAGCCAAAAGAGATGGTATATTCTTGGCGCTGGAAATTACTTTCGTGGCCTACTGGTTAAAATAGCTGCAATTCGCATCGCCTTCTTCGCTTTTCGCAATCCAGATTTCATATACAAACGACCCTACACTTTCAAAACAGTGACGTCTACCACTATCCTACGTGTCGCAGCATCTTTGCACTATAAGCATGGCAGACAATGGCATTGTGGCTCTTCGTGCAAGTAGACAGATCATAACGGGGGACGGGAGAGCAATCGATTTTGAATACCCTGGAATTCAGCTATCTACAAACGATGAGCCCAAGGAGAAGCCCAACAAAGACAGCAAACACATCCTCATTTTGGGTGGTGGCGTCAGCGCACTGACCGTGGCTTGGATTTTCTTGATTCCGGATACCGAGTCACGCTCATGGCGGAACATTGGGCGTGGACAAAAGATTTTGTGAAGTCTCGCATCACCTCGCAAATCGCGGGGGCGCTGTGGGAGTACCCTCCAGGTGGCTGTGGGTTGACCGAGGTTGTATCTGCGGGTAGAGGATGGTCCACACTGGAACACTACCAAGAATGGGCTCTGCAGAGCTACGAGTTCTACAAAAAACTCGCAGAGATACAAAATTCCCATGAAAGAAGAGGGCGGTCATTCGGACTGAATATCACCCAGCTCCACCAGTTCTTTTTTGAGCCGATTGAGCTTAAAAGGGACACTGGCCGTGACCCTAACGCGAACGATAGCCATGCCATCAAACTGCAGGGTATCGAAGAAGCTGTTGATGACCACAGAATGCATGGCTACAAGAGGTACAGGACGAAAGAAGACCTCGAAAGGGAGTTTAAGGATTTCAGTTTCAGCCGTGACTACCGTGGAGGCTTCGAATGTGGCTATACTCATGACGCCCCGATTATCAATACGGACAAGGCCATGGCATATCTCATGGCCCTGGTGAAATGAAAAGGCGCCAATTTCGAGACCCGAAAAATCAAGGGCAATCTTCGCAATCAGGGCAAGGGTTTATTGGAGATTTTTGACGCTAATGCCGTGGTGAATGCCACCGGCCTCGGTGCTAAAGATTTACTCGGTGACGAGGACGTTTACCCCGTCCGTGGCGCCATTCTGAGAGTTGATAACACTCGTAATGGACAGTTCAATCACTTGAATAACGCCTACCTAGTTCCCGCGCAGAAGGACAATAATGGGGTGCCCGCCGGCGTCGTTTTCATTGTTCCCCGGAATGACGATATTCTCTATATCGGATCAATCATCCAGCCACATAATGACCAGGCGAATCTAGAGCCTGGTTCGCCTGAGGTTCGCGTTATGTGGGATCGCGCTGCAGAATTCATGCAAAGCCTTCGACATGCTGAGTTTGTGCATCACTACCCGTTTGCTCAAGGTCTGCGGCCTTTTACCAAGAAGAACGTCAAGGTGAGAGCAGATACGCAGGCTGGCTTTCCGTTGGTTCACAACTATGGACACGGAGGTTCGGGCTGGACATTGGGCTTTGGGACTGCTCGCTGTGCAGTCTACATCTTAAAAGCGCTTCTCGAAGAGGATTATGATGAAGCGGACGAAAAATGGAACCAAAAAGCGGAAAAGATCAACGAGGAGATATATGGAAAGCAAAATTAGTCGGCCATGGCAAGTTTCAGCACACAACACATCTTGAGAATATCACCATGATTCGCCCTCCACTGACTAGCACTATAAGACCTGCAGCGATCTCAGAATTAGATCGGATTACACCTATCAGCAGCCAGACAGTATTCCTTTTTGCATGTTCTCTCTTGTCTTATTCCTCCCATCGCATCGTCCGTTATTAGAGTCAATCCTAAGCTATTCCCGTCATGCTTAAAATAAAAAAAACACTACAGAGTAATTGCCTTCCCTGATGAATAGCGAATACATCAATTGAACCTATGCTATATTGCTCCATTACTTACTACTCACAAGGATACTAATAATGTAAAGCCCGCGTAAGCTGATAAGGAAGGATATATTGTAACAGACACTGAATTGGAGAAAGATCAGTAGTTCTAAGGATGCTATCGGGGTAGGATAACTGTCATTGTAGTTGAGGCAGAGCGTTTTATCATGTGAGCGTAGGGGGTAGTAGTACGGCTAGTGGCCGCCCTGTACATGCTTTGCTAACACTAAAGAGTCGACAAAGAGACAAGAAATACTAAAGATATAGTTAGAAATTCTTTAAATTTCTTCAACTATCGCTGAGCCATCATTAGTGCGAAAGAAGCACCCTGGCCCCAAGTATGAGAACTTCCCTCTGGTACCCACCCACAAGACCAACACGAAGGCTCCCTTCGAAGCCGGTCAGTCTTTAGCATCGGTGTCCCACAGGAAGGACCACGATATACCAACCACTAAAGGCCTTCGTGGCTTTACATTCTGTGGCTGGCACCACCGCCTGCGACACCTCTGTCGACCTTAGCGTTCATTTACAGTCGAGAGTGTCTAGCCACGTGATATACATACCCTTCCCCCTTCCCCCGGTACCTATTGCATTGCTTCATGTTGTTTCTAACTGTCGTGCTTTACATGAAGCATTTTGGAATTTTCTAGTGGGAATCTAGTCGATTAACGCTGTGCAGTGATTCGTTACAGATCCAATGGCTCGTCTGCTCCGATCGGTGATGTCGAGGCCACCACGCGAGAAAGGCCACAGGAAGAAGTCTGAATGGAGGATACCTGCTTGCATACAGCTTGCATGCTGCAACTAATTAGAAATGGACAAGATGGAGGAGACAACAATGACAAATTCTCGACCAGTTGTATTTTCATTGATCTAGGATTGAACGAATCATGGAGGCTCGGAAATTTATACCACGTGTGGAGAGAAACGTTGAGATGCATTGGAGAATTGAATAACTACTGATTGGCATCTATCCTTAAGCCTGATTAGTGGATTTGGAAAAGAAACAATGTGGACAGGTGTGGTGCTGATATTGACCAACTGAACAATAGGATCCCACGCGACAACAATATGAATGCTGCCATCCTTGTGAACGTTGGCATCTAGAAGCAACGGTACCTGGATATCTGCCGGAATAGGCGCAATGTGATCAAACATGTCTTGACTCCACCTATCCAGCCCTCGGAATATTGCCTAGCACGGGACGCGGTGTCGATCTGTCGTGCAACATTGGCAACAACCGTCAAATAGGACCGAGGGCCCAAGTCTCAAAGGCTGCTGTCTGCTTCGTCTACATAAAGACAGACAAGGAGGTCAAGAACCGCCAAGTTGATACATCCTAGAATGGTTTCTTTGTAATGAAGTCCTGGATATCTGTTTTTCAACAACCCTTGCTTTTCTGTACCGCTGTCTGTGGGATCTCTAGCCGACAGGATTCCATAGTGAATGTGCAGCTATCCGCTCCGGGGGTTACCTATGAACTTGGCAATGTCACATTCTTTGCCAACGTCCAACATCCCAAGGCAATCTTTAACTTGGACTACACCAATTCTTCCAGACTTGTCGCAGCGACAGTCATACTGGTGAACCAGAGTGTGGTCACCGGCAGCTATCTGAAGTCTACCCTTTCCCGCTACTTGACCGAAGATGATGTTTTCTCACTTGACTTCCTGTACGCAATCTATCTCACATCCACTGTCTCAAAGTCCAGATTGGACTCGACGGCAGAAAAATATCTCAGCAGCCTAGGCGTGAGTTGTCTTTTATTCAATGCCACCTCTTTTGAGAGTATCCCGAGCAAGGGACATGCGTTGAAGGACGACCACGCCACATCCCTACCACCAGGCCCGTTTACCATTCTCGTCAACAATGGGTCCATCTCTTTTCTTGACACCTACCGCCTGTATATTGACAGCTTTCGCACCTTTATTACCGGTGCATATCCCTCCAACGACGGCATTGATTCGTTTGCTACGCTACCTGCAATGAATCCACGGCCCGGGGGACCACTGATCCCCGTCCCTAGTCGAATCCATTCATGGAATGACAATCGACCCCTGGCAGGTAAACGGGTCTCTGTAAAAGACCTTTTTGACGTCAAAGGTCTACAAACCTCAGCTGGAAGCCAGGCGTGGATCCAGGTCACTCCGATTGCCAATTCGACTGCTCCTGCCATTCTACGACTGATCGATCTTGGCGCCGTGATAGTGGGCAAGTTCAAGTTAGCCCAATTTGCGTCGGGTGCAGATCCATGGAACTGGACTGATGAACAGGCCCCCTTTAACCCCCGGGGTGACGGGTACCTGACCTGCTCAGCCTCGTCCTCTGGAGGGGGATGCGGAATCGCTGCGTACGATTGGCTTGACGCGGCGATTGGGACAGATACTGGTTCGTCGATGCGTCGTCCTGCTTCAGTATCGGGGACTTTTGGCAACCGTCCTAGCCAGGGTATGATATCCCTGGAGGGTGCTGTTCCCTTGAATGCAGGGGAGGATACTGTCGGGGTCTTCTCGCGCGATCCTGTTGAGTGGGCCGAGTTCGCCAAAGCCTGGTATACCCCAAGTCTGCATGAAGATCCCTCGATTAATGGTCTTCCCTCTCTATCGGTACCGGACACAACAGCCTTCCCGAAGCGGATCTTATATCCAGTGGAGTATCTCCCTCTGGCCAATCCCGCAGCGCAGGCCATCCTCGACGGATTCCTTCACGGCATGACAAGGGTATTTAACATGAGGATCGAGCGCACGAACTTCACCGCGACAGCGAGCAATGCATCCATTTTCCCAGAGGTCCACGGGGATGCATTGGTCAACTGGAATCTTCTATACGAGGCCGCAGCGACGCTACAGCTGTGGACCCAGTCCACCAAGGTCTATGGACCCCTTATCTCGACCTGGGCTACGAGGAATGAAGGTCGATTCCCTCCTGTCGATGCGCAGTGGAGGGAGGCGTGGATTAGGTATGATGTCAGTCATATCACCCAGGCAATCTACGAGCAGGCCTTGCGCACAAAAGCTGCAGCATTCAACTGGTTCCAGGATGAAGTCTTGTACCAGACCTCCGACTCATGCTCCGAGGCTGTGATGATCTGCGACGGAGGCACCGGAGGCTTGCCGAGTTTCCGTGAGCAGGATTTGAACAACAGCCCAAATGCCAGCTTCATGAATGTGTTTCCAGAGCACGCAGACATCTCATGCAGCGGCATCTGTACTTTATTTGGGTAAGTAGCGTGCCGCACATGTCTGAAGCAAGCTGACTGGCTGTAGGTGTGTGGATTTTACCATTCCTCTCGGACAGGTAGACTACTACTCGCCAGTGACCATGGTGACAGAGCAGTGGCCGGTGACGATCAATATCATTGCTCGCCGGGGATGTGATTTTATGCTCTTCAATATGATCAAAAAGCTGGCAGAAGAAGGAGTGCTGAGATCTGTCAAGACTGGGAGGACGGCTTTCTAGATCCATCTTGAAGTCTACACATACCATGTCACATCACCAACTCATGAAGCGAGTTATGCTTCTTGAATAGTGCCTTTGAATTGTCTACTCCATGTCCCTGTCTCTATTTCCGTCCTGCGCGTTGAGATGTGAGTAGGCGGGACAACTGTCTGTCGTCTGCTTTCACTTTAGAAGATAATTCTGCATAATGAAGTGCCACCTGATGATTCTCCTGTTTTACTGCCGAGGACTTATCCTATCTCAATGAGAGTAACGGCCGTACTGAACAGTATATTAATTCAAAAACTTGGATAACGTGTCCTTATTTGTCCTATAGCACAAATAGACAACAGAACCGGGAGAAGACCAAATCACTGAGACTGAGAGCCCGAGCTGCCATGAGAAACATAAGTCAAATGCGTGTCAACGGGTATGCCCACTGGAGAAGCTCCATTCGGTCAGGGCACCAAAACCTGTTGAGATGGAGCAATAGGGGGACAGTATTGCAGCTCATAACAAGAAGGATTAGCATTAACGGAACATCTCGTCCCATCGTAGCTCGTTCCCTCGGGACACTGCGGATCATCCTTGGACGCGCAGAAGAATCCATTGAATTTCTGACCGGGGGGACACTCGGGTTCCGACGTTCTGACGCACTTATTATCCTTCAACTCCAACCCAGGGGGACATTCAGGCCGCTTCGTCGACACGCACATCCCCGAGTGGAATTCCGTACCAGGGGGACAATCGGGCGCCTTCTCAACGACACATTCCTCGCCGACGAGGCTGGACCCGGGCGGACATTCAGGCCTATTCTCAGAGACACACTGGTAATCCAGGAAACGGAATCCTGGCGGGCATTCGGGATTATCGTTTGCGACACATTCGCTGCCTCGTGGGACGAGACCTTCGGGACATTGAGGTGGTATGATCGAGATGCATCGGTTTCCGTCTTGCGATGTGCCTGGGGGACAGGACGGGGCGTCTCGATGGACGCAGTCGGCGTCGACGCGCTCGAGTCCCGGGGGACATTCGGGGTTCTCGGTGGACACGCAGTTCTTGCCCTCGACCCGGAAGCCTGGAGGACATTCCGGCTGAACGTCTGCAAGGCACTTGTCGCCCACCGGAGGGAATCCGTCTGGGCATTCAGGGGTTGTAGGGATGATGCAGTTGCCATTCCAGTACATCTGATTATCGGGACACTGAGGGGGCTTGTCGGAGCGGCAGACGGTCCCGATGAGAGTGAAGCCGGATGGACACTCTGGGGTTCTGGCGTCCACACAGTGATCTTTCACTAGACGGAAAGGAGGTGGACAGCTCGCTGGCTTGTCGCCCCGGCAGTGGTCGTCATGAATATGCGAGCCTTCTGGACAGGTCGGGGGTTGCGTGGACACACACTCTACACCATTGAACCGAGTAGGAGGCGCACAATATGGTGTTTCATCAAGTAGGCAGTGCTGTCCATTCCATACTCCTACGTCGCAGATGGGCGTCTCTTCTGATACGCAGTGGCCGTCCCGGAGCTCCAATGGGGACTCACAGACCGGCTGCTCGAGAGGAGCTGTGACGCATTTTTCACCGTCATAATTGGTTCCTTCCGGGCACGATCCGGGATCCGCAGGGATAAGGATGCAGGAGGAACCACCCCACGTCCAAGCCGTTGGGCAGCATCGCCCAGTCTGAGAAGGTCGATGGAAGGATGAAGCGAACCCAGGGGGACACACGGGCTCCTGTCGGCGTACGCATCGTTTGTTCTCCAACTCCAACCCTGGGGGGCACTGAGGCTTCAGGTCCGTTCGACATTGCCCATCCTCAACACGGCCCGATGTGCAAGAGGGTGGAGTTTGAGAGACGCATTTTCCATTTCGAGACACCGTTCCAGGAGGACACTCGGGGTCACGGCTCAGGCGGCAATGAGAACCGTCGTTCGTGTACCCAGGAGGGCACTCCGGTCGCTCTTTGGAAACGCACTTCCCATCAAGAACGACTAGCTCCGGTCGCCCACATGACGGCCCATCTTTGGCGATGCAGCTTTCGCCGTCGTAGCGTAAGCCATCAGGACAATCCGGACTGGACCGGGAAATACACCGATCCTTCTCGGGGAAGAAACCATGTGGGCACTGAGGGCCTTCCCTGTACACACACTGGCCGCCACTGAACCTATATCCGGCATCACAACCGGGAGGGATCGACAGCGTGCAGGCCCCGTTCATCCAGTTGGATCCCGACGGGCAGATCGGGTCTTGCGTGGAGACGCATAGATGGTCTTGGTATTTGAAACCAGTTGGGCATTGCGGTCCTTTGGTATGGACGCACATTCCATCCTGGAAGATTGTGTGCTCCGGACATATGTCTCTCTGATACAGCAGACACCTGGTCCCATCATACACGGTCCCCCTTGGACAGCACTTGAGATCGGTTTCGCCCGTGGTAGGATTACGCCAGGAGGACGGGACAATGTCGTCGAGGGTGATTGCGCGGGAGGGATAATCAAGAACTTTGTGCAATCCAGGCACCTGCTGGGAGGCGACCTGAAGTGCTCCACTGGCCAACAGGAGTACCAGGGGGACCTTCATTGATGACCTTCTTGCTCGAGGAATGGGAGAATAAGTTGAAATACGAGATAACTGCATGAATGATGTTCAATTGACGGATAGATAGCCTCGTTATATAGTCACAATTGGTAGCTTGAAGCCCCTCGACATTATTACAAGGGGACGGACGAGACACCCTGAGGGTGCAGTTACTACATCATTCAGGACTGTCCTGTCATCGATCGGCCGAGCGGGCAAGACCAGGCGAACATCCTTCTGTCGCACGGGGAATCGAGTTCGGACCCCCAAATGCAAGGTGATGGAGCTTAACTTGCAGTTACGGGCAGCGTCGAGGGCAGCCGCCTGAAGAAGTTGCAGAATAGCCCAGCAGCCCCAGCTGGAATCGGCATGGCGCTACTCCGCACTGTCTGATCATGGAGGTGGATCTGCAGGCATACTACATGTTTCGAACTCGTCATCTTTTCCTGTCTCAGCTCAGCTAGCCACAGTGAATAAGAAGCATGATACAGCCTATGAAAAATGCCTCAACTAGAGTTGCCATGCAGCCATTGTCACACTGCGCGCCTTTGGATAACGGAGACCTCACAGTGGCCACCAGTTCTGTCTAGAAAGTCAGGGACTCAGCTGGTGCAGATTGCTCGGTTCGACTGTCATGAGATTTACATGGTCGCTTCGTCTGCCTTTTTTTGGACAAGGCGGACATGGTGGCTACATGGAGCTGTCAGTTTGCAAGCATAGTGTGACTTGAATTGTCGCCAGTGGACAACAGCATGCATATGGATGCTCTCCTATAAAACTCACCTAGCGCACCAAGCTTGTCCCATTGCTTTCGCGGAGTATCATCTCCTTTCTCACTTCACCTTGCCAGCTCTTTTCAACATGGGCGCTCCAAATCTCTACCACTCTATACTCGTGTCCCTTCTGTGGGCATCAGTGTGGTTCAACAGCCTTGCAAGAGCCGACTACAATCGCCTCTGTCCCAATAAAGCAGGGCAAATCCAAGTCGATTCCACCTTTTATACCGTGACCTGTGATACATCCTACATATCTCCCGCACCCAAGAAGGTAAAAGAGGGCGGCTCCCCCGAGGACTGTGCTCGGCTGTGTACGGCGGAGCCAACTTGCCATGCCATGGTCTGGCATTCTGGAAACTGCTGGCAGTCCGATAAAACAGAGGCCATCTCATTCTGTGTCCCCGGCGCTGTACTATTGACACCAGGCAAGAAACAGGATCCAGTCACAGGACCATCACCTGGCGAGGAGAAACAGAAATGTCTCGAGGAGAAGGAGCTGTTGGCACAGGAGAAGGAGCAATGTGGTAGATCCTTGGTGCAGTGTGAGGCAGACAAGAGCGGCATATCTGCCGGCAAAACCACATGCGAGAACAATCTCGCGGCTGCAAACAGAGAAATTGAGCGACTGTCTAACCCAAATAGAGTCCCTGAGACCTTCGTTCCTGGTAGGCTTCACCTTATATATGTGGACGACCATGGCTCACATAATCTAGCCCGAAATGATGATGGACGTGAGTTGATTATTGCTGGGAAGAGATGGAAAATATATTACGCCAAGCGTATATCTCCCATTTTCATGTCGCGTGTCATGCTAATTGGTTTATAGTGAATGATCCTGGTCATTGGGATCTGGGTATTCTTACTGTACCCTCCTATGTGGAGTGCATGAAGCTCTGTGCTTCAAAGCCGACATGTGTCCGTACAGCATGGACCAACGATGTAGTCGGTTCAAGTACATGCTGGATGAGATCGCATGGCCAGCACACTGTTCAGACAGTCACTCAACCCTGGACTTCTACTCACCTTATTGGGCCCGCTTGAGCGTGAATATCGGACACTCACCGGCTCGAGTCAATGGAGGAGGGTGACGTTTGTCTAACTGCGGCGATCCTTTAAGTCATCAGTCTGTGTTTCGACTTGTTTCTCTGTGTGCTTACCGCGGTTGTTGAATCTGGGTCTGTAGATTTATAAAGGCTATTCTTCTTGTACGCAGCTCTCATGCTCCACCTCTCCAGAGTCCCTATCAAAGGATGTTCTGGACTCTGGCTGGTCTCGTTCGTAGTCAGAATCTACCTTTCAAACAACAAAACCAGGACGAACTTTAATCTGTTTGATGTCGTTACAGCCGGTAGGAGATCCGCGGAACGAGGATCGTCCAACTTAGCGGAAGATGCACCTGTGAGACGGACCGTGGTGGAGCGAACCAAAGCTGGGTCCAGAAGTGGGCAAACTCGCATGATCTGGCTGCCTGTGGTGGACCTGTAGTCTTCAGCTAGAAGGATAATCAACGCGGGGTCAATCAGGATAGCTAACTGCTAGCAGTCATGATTACCGGCAGAGAAGCTAGCTATAACACTAAAGCAAGCCTGATAAGACAGATCACATCATATTGAGACCTGTCAGATCAGCTCAGGACTGGAGCGGCTGCAAGAGCACACATGATCCCCACAGATCGTGTAACTGCAGTATCGCCTTCTCCCCCCGTACTTAGGAGGATATCTGGTATCTCTGCCCATTCATGTCGATCCCTTTATGCACGTTACCATGTCCGGATACGTCTGTAGTCCGTAGCCTCGGAATCGTCTGCAGCTAACCCAGCCTCTCATAGCTTATTGGATTCTGCAATGGCGCTAGTGGATCGGCTAAAATAGCTATTGACGAACTGACTTCTCGAGATTGCAGGATGGGAATGTCGCTGATAATGCCGCTGAACTTCCCATGCTTGACCCAGTGGAGGAAGAGTTCTGTCAAAAAGCCAACAGGATTCTCCCGTTCGTTGAGATGTATCAAGGGAACAGGCACTAGACTTACTGTGCCATTTACCCCGCAGCCGCTGAGTTGGTGTTAGATTTCCTATGGTTTTTGGCCAGACCTTCAGAGGTGTCTGACCTGCATGCCTTCACTGTGCCTTCACCCTTTGAGAGCTGGACCCTCCACGTCTGACTTAACAGTATCTTTCGTCCAAATCAAAAATCTGGCATAAAATGTATCAAAAAATGGACCCGATCACCGCTGTTGGACTCCTTGGCTCACAGCCCGTCGATACTGCTCGATCTGAGAGCAAGTGCTCCCAGATTCCACATCATCTGATCTCAGAGGGCATAGGCATAAGCCTAAACCTAATACTTGAGTCGTCTATTTTCGCACGATCTACAACAAAAGCAGGCAGGTCGAGCCAGCACTTTCATTAAGATTGACAATGGGACAGGGGGTACTTCTCTGAGCTGCGATGAAATGGCACTATTTAGATTTCAATTTTTACAGTACAACGCACAATTTAGCCTTATAGAGCTCATCTACCAAGTGCATATATGCCTTCGACTCAAAGAGACATCTGTGTCTGCTCCCATTCTTCAATCCCCACAACACCCACCTTGAGAAAGGAGTCATCCTCATCAATACGCTTTCTTAGTGGCCCGTCCAGCAGTTCTGTCACATCCCACTTTGCCCATACAAACCTCCCATGCAAGAACCTTGCTTCTGGAGATGCAGCCCACACAGCAAACTCCCCTGGTAAATTTTCTGCATCGACGTCAGCGTTGTCTGCATACGCTAAACTGATCTTCAAAGTGGTGTATGCTACTTACCGTCATCCCATTGAGGGTCATCCTTCTTGAAACCCGCGCGTTCGGCCAGTTCTGTGAAGACACCGCCAGGATGATAGCTAACTATCTGGAGTTCTTCGGGAGGGACGTCCTTGGCGATCTGCTGCACTAGCATTGTCCCCGCGCTCTTAGTGGCCCCATAGCTTGGGTACTGGCCGGTGAGTTTACTCTCGTGGATCGCAAGGGAAGCCAAATTGATAAGTGCCTGCCCGCCCTCGTCAGCACCAAGTCACCTGAATATATACAGTGGTCTGCGCTCACCTTTTGACGGCCTTTAGCACCTGGCTGCTTGTACAACCGTTCGGTAAAGTCAAGGTGCGTCCGCACATTGGTAATGTACTCTTCCCAAACCTTGTCCCTGCCTAGGTCGAGAATAGGCTGCGCTGAGAGCTTGGCTGCGTTAAGCACTACGACGTCGATAAGAATATTGTCGTTTGCTAGGTCGTTCCACAGCCTATCAACGGATACCACGTCGGCAATGTCGCATCTGAGCCCTACTGTCTGAGTGGAGGGAAACTCGGATGCGAGGCGTGCCGCGGCGGAGGCCACCAAGTTGTCCCGTCGGCCGATGATGATCAGCCTTTTTGCACTGGCCTGGCCGAAAGCCCTCGCAATGGCGTAACCTATGCCCGTGTGGCCTCCCGTGATGAGCACAGTCTTCCCTGCCTGCGAGAGCTCGGGCCGGGACGGCGCGATGGCATGATAGGGAGCATTGTGAACTCTCTTGGTGAAGGCGAAGCCTGGTGGCAAGGTGATGGTGGAAGACATGGTTGTTTTAACAGGTCGAGGCTAAGAACTTGAATAGAGACTCTGGAGTGTGAAATTTGCCACTCAAGGAGATAAATCGTTCGGGTGTCAGGCTATAAGCAGACCATGCACATCTCAAAGCGAAAGAGGCTCTATTTATAAGTATCACACTCCCTTTTTTACGCTTCCTAGAACCATCCCTTCCCTACAACAGCGCACCCAGTTCCCGGCACTTCCATTAACAAAGATGGTTGATAGAGCCACTACAAACATTAGCATGGTTCCGTCACCTGTGCCAACTCCGCAATAACATGTCAAACACATCAAACTCCGCAACGCACATCAAAACTCCGCAAAGCCTCCGCCGGATCCCAGTAAGAACTAAGAACTGTATGCGGGATTTTGGAGGCCTGCCCTCTCAATTGCGGCCCTTGTCCTCAACACTCCCTCGCTTTCATCTGAATCAATGTGGCATTCACCCACCGCTAGTTACCTGATCAAACGTTAATTAGCGGAAGTCGGAGACTACGCTACTGATTCGGTGCCACCTTTCCTTGGATCCATTAGGGCATTTAGCAATGAACTTAGCAACCTGTTCCTCTACCTACGGGGAAGTATGCCACCACGGCGCGGGATTATAGACGCATAGACGCATAGGCCATCCGCAGTCTCCATGAATCATTACGAATTTGGCCGCAGTTGTGTTCTGCTCTCGGCAGAAAATGGGTGAGTATTCGGCTGATAAAGCTAGTGAGACGGTGGAAATGAGACCGGTATGGAATTTAGAATCTGGCGGAGTTTGCACCAAAATTTATCAGCAGCTTACTGGGAAATGCTCTATTTGTAAAATATCCGCTGCTAGGACTCATAAGCTAGATTGGTGGCGTCGACCTTCTAGATCCATATCTAAGTATGTCCTGGCGCTCGTCCGGTGAGGGAGTGGCTGTGGCCGTGACACATTTCCTGAAGAATGGAAATTTGCCCCGTGCTGCGATAGAATTCATTATTCCTCTACACCCCTCATTCGGTAGTTAGCCAGCGTGACACATATATCAACGTGTCCGCCTAGCACCATATCCGCGGCGCAGAGGGGCTGGGGACATCCTACCAAATATGAGTAAATGGAGCAGGGAACCTATATTCACCCTTCCATCATCGATATGCATCTTAAGCCTCCCTATTATGTGCCCTCCTACCACTGCTAGATCCGAAGGCTAGATTTCCTTTGAATCTGCAAAAAGGGATCTTAGATCGGTCACAAAGATGATGCGGTAGATGGATGAAGAGGGGATGCACCATCTCCAATAATGAATTGGTCCATCCTCGCAATACCTACAAACCTACACTCAAAGAAGAGCAGTCAGTAAGGCATGGCCAGAAGAGCTTGAAAACTGCTGAACGAGGACGGGCATGAGACTCACGCAGCAAGCATGATCCATGAGAGGGGATCGACATCCACAGGCTTAGCCACCTTAGCAAAGTCCTCGATAAAAAAGTTCTGCACAAATATCTGCCGTTGTCCATGCCACGCGAGGAAGAAGGCGGGGCTGCTATCAGCTCTCCACAGGAGGCCAGATGCCGTCCATCGGTGCACGCGTACAAAGTGTCCCGGGTCAGGCATGTTGGTGTTCTTGGAACCGGACCACTTGAGCAGTGCATAGAAGGCAATAAATGTGTAGCCCATGAGGATGGTGCGTCGGAGGGACTCGTTGAGGATCCAACTCTGGAGGCATACATAACCCAATCAGTCGAGGTCGTCATTAGAAAGTAGATAAGTGGCGCTAGAAAACATACTTCCCACGACTTGGGGGCCGCCTGCCTCACTTCGGCTTCTTCCAGGAGAGACATTTCTGCCAAGTTGTCTCTGTACTGTTCGAGCTCGAGGAGCCATGCTTCAAGAATAGTCATATCCTGCTCTGCCTGGGCGCGGAGCCCGATATCCCCATCGAATAACCTCAAAACCTGGTACATCCAGAGAGCCTGCGTGTCCGCTAGTTTTTCATATACTGTATTCGCCGCGCCAGTCCCCACATCAGCCAGGCTCTGAGCCTGAGCATGCGCTGTCGTAGTGGCCGTCGACTCGTGCGATTGTGTCATCATGTGGCGATGACTACTGTGTGCTACTTCCTTGTACACCGCCAGGAGATCATCGACTCCCTCGGAAAGGACACGCAGAGCCCAGTCACGATTGCTGTCGTTGTGAGCGACATATGCAGACACTGCGGCGTACAGGGTGATTATAGAGCGCGGAGTGTCTTGACGATAGAGGTGGCGGTGGAGGAACGGTGTCTCCTTAGTGCGGACAAAGACACTAGGTATCTCCTTAATTGACTTTGTCATGAAACCGATCTTGGAGTCCGACTGGTAGAGCCTCCAAGGCTGGAAGTCTTCCTGATCCATGAATGGTGAGCCATGCCAAGCACTAGATAGGAGTCACAGTTGCGTAGGATAAGTCATAATAATGCCTCGAAGGTGACGAAGGTGATCTCCAATGTTGAGACAGAATTCAATTTCAAGTTGGCGTAGGACAGACGGCAAAGCAGCCAATATTAAGCAAAAAGATGGGCTGCGCAATTCGCGAGGACAGGAATTAACTTACAGAAACATCGCGGCTTTCATCTATGGGAAATCGGTGATTAGCGTGCAGTGGCGAGCTGGACATCCTGGATACCGCGGTCGTGCTTGCCTGGTCCTGGATCGCTAGAGCGTGCCACGGCTGCATGTCAAAGCCTTGGGGTGTGTCTGTCATATAATTCATGGGGTTGTCGAAGTTAAAAAAGGACAGGTCAAATGAGGGTGTTGGGCCGACGAGCGGCATCTGAGAGTTGTCCGCGCCAGTAGCATTGGAGGCAAACGGCTCTTGGAACAGAGGAGGCCCACGTATTGAAGGGTTGTCAGATCCAAACTCGCCGCCAGGGACTATGGACGACTCGTCAGGTGCAATGATATGATCTCCGAAGTCGACATCCACGGCGGAGTTGTCCGAACCAGACGCCGCGGGGTTCTTGTGGTAAAGACAAGGTAAGCCTCTCTCAGCGCAGCGAGTGCACTGCGGAGTTCGCTTGTCGCAGCGCCGTTTGCTGCGGACACAAGCTTTGCAGCTTTTCTGGCGCGACCTGTAGCTGGTCCAAGGATCGACCATGGCAGTGCACTATGAGGGACGAGGGAGATCGGTTTTAAGTATCGACAAGATCGACGAAGCGAAGGCGGTGATTGATGGCGATTCTGCAATGCTTCGGTAGGAAAGAATGGCCATACTCTGAGAGCTGTATTCTGAACTAAGTATCGCACAAGGTTGGACTATTGAGCCGTACCATCCGCTTTTCCGCGCTCTGACGATATCAGATATATTAGTCATCCAAAGAATTTCGGGCAGATTCCTATTGGGTACATAATTTCTATCTGTCTCGAAAGCGGCAGCTAGATCTATTTCGATGGTCAGGATAGCCAATAATGTCTTGGCTCCCAAATCGGTTGATATACTGTTGACTCCGGGTTTTGTTAGTATGTTTTTTATTCACACACTATACAGGGATCATGTAATTGGTGTATTGGATTCTGGCCAATATCTTGCTCCTGATCGTCTGAATAGTTAAGACTTCTACCTATCAGAGTAGGCAGTCATTTATTTAGAAAACCTCGTTAACTATTATGGTATAGCTGCAAGTCCCACTGTACTAACAAAACCACCGGGGTCAACCGGAGTATATATCCTGAAAAAGAGAGACCCTCAATTCATGAGCTTGAGCTCTGCATTTTTAGCTACGGCATTTCAATCATCCATTGGATTTTAGTAAAACGAAACAAAGTACAGGCATATGCTGTAATGTCATTATCTTGCTCAACTGGACAATACAGGCGCCTTGCCAACCCATTCAGAGTCCCCGGTTATATTCTCCAATACCCAAGTCGCCAAATAGGGAATGGAAAGGTGGACGGGTCATCGCAAGGATTTGAAGCTGAGCTTGAGCGTGGTGCTGCAATTTCGGATGCAGACAAGAGGTCCGCTATACTGAGAATATGGCAGCAATTTCCTCAAAGCTATGAGGAACACCCCCCGCTGGCAAAGCCGAGCATGTTATGTCCTTCCTAGTTGGTTCTGGAGCGGCTGGGAACGACAACAGTGAGAGGACGCAATCCTGGGAGCTGTTCGGGGTCTCTGTGAGATGAATTTCGAATCCAAGTCCAACCAAATTGCCAGGAATACATTAAGTGCCCGTGTACGAGTCGAGGGGCTTCTGGCCTCTTAGTTGACGTAGTCAGAGCTGCATAGACCGTAAGTGTCCTACTTCACCCCTACCTAAACCTCCCTCCGGGCAGGATGGAAACGAACCAATATCAGAGCCTTAATTGACTAAGCTATACACTTCCTAGCCGCAATATCGTGGACTGGTCGTCATCCGAATCTACGTAGAAGTAAATTCGTACGTTTCTGGATTTAACGACGATGGCGCAAGTAGCATTGCAGATGGAGACATCTGCAGTTTAGGAATTAGACCAAAAAAGGTCCTAGCAGCAGTGGAACATAGGTTGGGTATGTTGCCCATAAGCCCGTGTGCAAGGTGCATACTACTAGTTCTGCCGTTGGCACAGCACAAAACTCTCTGGGCGGTAGTTAATAAAAAGGCTTTTTTCTTATCTTGATTGCCAATGTAACTTGTCTGCCCATATCCTTGAAGGCCTGAGGCCATACTAACGCTTAGTGAAGTCAAAGACTCCGTGCCATTTGCTGCTTTTGAAATGGCATGGAGAGCTAGTCTCAAATTCGGAGCATGAATCCAGCAATAATTGTCCCTCGAGGACTTTGTCTTCTTGGACCCTTGTCAGGAATTCGACGAGATGACCAATGTATCGTGTGTGGGAATGTGCTTGTGCATCTGTGGGGTTCTCAAGCACTATCGCTACCGGGGCGATGCAAGCATATAGAGGATAGCATACAATTTGCCTAGGAGGCAATCAGAAGAATGAGCTTTTGTACACCCAAGAGGATATACATACCAGAGATGTCCAGATTGCTGACAAGGTAGGTGTTGCAGTATATGGATTGTTTGGGAGGCTGCCGATGCCTGAATGATCCTTGATGACTGAATCTGTTGCATTGCACTAATATCGCCTTCCTGGTAAAGGTGTGCTGCAAAGCCATGAATCTCACTAGGGGAATGCGTTCTTGAAGAAGTGCCACCACAGTTCCGTCATCTCGCTATATGAGCCCCTGGCGGTCCGTAACAAATCACGACCGCTATCGTAGCATTCAACACGGCCCAACGTCCAGGGTGCTTCTCTGGTGGAACAGCAGGGTCTGAAGAGTGTTGTTCCAGAAGGTCTGTTAGAACGGGGACATCAAATAGGGGTAGAACGTGATTGGCCTCAGTAAAGGCCGCCTCAAACATAGATTGGAGCTGAGATTTTGGAGGGATTTGGATAAAGATCGAGCTGGTGGAAGGGCTGCGGTTTGCTTCTAACCTGAGCTTTCTCGCGGTCGTTTGCTCCGGAAGCATTCACGCGTTGAGCTATTCCTACATAATCCCTCTGTCTTTTTTTGTTGAAAGTGGAATCTTGTAGGCAAACGATTCCAATGTTGACCCCCTGGCCAACCTGCTCGAAAACAATAAGATTAACACCGTCATCTTTGCACTAGACTTACATCTGAATATCTACAGGATATCATGTCACATCGTAGCCTCATGCGAGCGAGTTATACTTCCTCAAGAGTTCCTTTACCTGCCCACACCATGTCCCAGATTCCATCGCAATCACCTGGGCTGTTTTTCCATCGCGAGTTCTCATTCCTTTCCTGTAGCTTGAATGCTGTAGCACCTTCTCCAACAGCGGTGGGTCTCCAACTTTGGTTGCATAGTGAACTGCTGCCCATCCATCTCCTCCGTACACATCGCCAATGTCGTCAGAGTCGAGAAGGATCATTGCGCTCCTCGTACTTCCGTGCTGCAGTGCTTCGATGAGTGGAGTGTTCCCGTCCTGGTCTTTTTGCTTCAACATGGCGGTGCTCGGGCATAGCCGTATTAGGGTCCTAAGAGTTTCGCTCTCGTCCTGTACGCATACATGATGGTATGCATTCTTCCCTGTTATGTCCCGTATGTCCAGATCGGCACCATTGCGTATCAGCTCCTCGACGCATATCGCATCATCCAGAAGGTAGAATAGTGGTGGTCGTCCATCCTCGTCCTGCGAGTTGATAGGCAAGTAGTCTTGTCCGTTGTTCTGGCAAAGCAAGGCAACTGTCTGCCGTCTGCCTTCTCCTCGAGAAGATAATCCTGCGTAATGAAGCGCAACCTGTTGATTCTCCTGTCTTACTGCGCGATCAGCTCCCTCGGCCAGCAACAACTGGACGCAATCCACTAAACACCCCTGCGCGGCCATCATCAGCGGTGACTCTCCCCAGACATTTGGCTGATTGATGCTCAACTGCTCCGGATAGCATCTGCTTATCTCGAGTGCGTAGGCCAAACTCTGCAACGCATTTGACTCGACCGCTGCATGGATGATATTCGCATTCAAGTTGGACTGGATGAACGGATCGGCTCCATGTTCGACTAGAATCCTCATCTTGTCGGCACGATTGGTCACTGCGGCCCAATGCAAGGGTGTCCAGTGGAATTTTCGATCCTTCTGGTCGAGGAGATTATGGATCACTTTGCGCGCGCTGTCGCTTTCCAAGGCGGACACGCGGAACTGCTCGGTGATAGCAGCATACAACGGTGATCGTTTTTGGTATCTGGTCTTCCATCGTGCCCAGTTTGTCCCCGGTGGAGCATTATTCGCATTATCGACGAATTCAATCAGGTCCTCCAGCTTCGGTCGCTCCGGGTCGCTGGCGTCGTAGAGATCCAGAACAGCGATGTGGATGGGGGTGAATTCAAAGTCTTCGAGGTAGTCGTCGTTTTTGGCGAATACGCGCACAATCTCTTTCTCGACTTCGGTTGCATCTGCGGTTAGTGACTTGAGAATCGCTAGGTCGACCGGTTTTCTTTGTTGAGTCAGCTTTTGTACCATCATCTGCCATGATTGGGGTAGCGGACCTAGCTCCAAGGTCTGCGACTTCTGTATCCACGCCGATGTCGCAGAGATATTTTACGGTGGGTAACTGTCTTGCATAGACCGCGGTCTACTAATGTTAGCACTTGAATCGCTGAAAAGGTAAGAGAGAGGAGGAGCGTACATGTAAGAGAGACCATCCATCAGGGGCCGTATCCCAGGGTGTGGCCTCCCGGGATGAGATAGACATCTTCAGCTTGTCCAGATTACCGTGTTTGACGTATCGCATTGCATCAGATCCTTCTGGCACCATTCGATACGTGTTGAGATTGTACCTGATCCCAACTCCTTGCATCGAAGCCAAACGTGAAACGACTCGACGGAAAAAAGCGGATGGTAAGACTCGGGTCTGCGAGGACGTTGTACCCGCACAGTCTGGCTCAGAGCATTCGATCCGTGAAGTTTTCGATTGCTTGAACATGCTCGAGTTAAACTTCGAGAATGGGACGTTGGAAACCTCAATGCTTTGCTTGTGGCATCGGCAGTAGCAGTCAAATCGACAGGCGCGGCGAATTACCAGGGCATCTGTGTCGGCACTCCTAGCTCTATTGACACCTGCAAGACTCGGCCGTTGTATAGTTTCATCTTGATCTGGGAGGGTGATTGACGAAGCTGACTCACTGAGACTTGAGAATATGGATGTTGCTGGTGATACTGTTGAGCTGCCGATGCTTGACCCAGTCGACGAAGACTTCCGTCGAGGCATATTCCACATTCCAGGTGCTAGTAATGAGCTGTCTGACGAACTCGCCGATGATACGGAGTTTCGCACAACCGCTCTTATGTTTTCTTCCTTGTATGCGGCTGATCGGCAATCGACTGTCGGTGCAGGGTCGGTAGGTGTCCGAAGCAGAGGAAGATCACGCCGGTCAATTGTGTCTCTCACCATCTCCTCTGCAACGTTGGAGCAGACCTCGAGAAGCTGAGGATTTTGGCTACACATGGCTAACATCATTTCCCTGAGAGCAATGGAGTTAGTATACAGTTCCTATTTGGCGGCTCAGATGACGAACATTTGAGCGACCGAGACCAAGCTGTGCAGCATTGCACACTGGCCCTTGATGCGGCCATCGATCCTCTCGAGGCTCGACTTGTGCTGAACCCATCTCATTCGTCTGATAGTTGAGCTCTCTGACCTGGCGATCTGCTGAAGTCGCTTCTGCAAGTCCTTTAGCGCTGCGTAACTCTCGTCAATGCCATTCTTCACCGTTTCCACAGAGATCTGGTGGACAACCCGACGACTTCGGAAGACCCGGTTAAAGCCTTTGAGGTTTTCTTCAAAAAGTGATAGCTGGTTGGATAAATCTGCCAGCTCGCGCTCACCATCCTTGAAGATTCTCACCAGCTGAATTGTCTCTCCGGTGAAGGTGATGAGGTTGGCTATTGAGCCAAGGAGACCGATAGTGGTAATCGGGTCCATCCTTTCGCTACATTACGACCGATTATTCGAGTTGGACATTAGATATTGTACTGCCGACAAGGATGATGCAGCTGCTCAAAGGGCGAAAACATGCGCAATGCTTTGCAGGAGTCAGAAAGCTCTGGCCGTAGAGCATGGGAAGATCTAACACGAACCCAGCGGCTGAACTGGTAAACGGCGCGGCAAATTTGATTCCCCTGGCCCGAAGAAGTGCGCTATGCCAATGGCTGAGAGAAGAAGGAACTGCGTGGCTCACAAAGATGGCAAGATTCGTAGAGGGGCAGGCCGACGGCGGGCAAGAGTAGATAGGCACAGAGCCATGCGCCAAATGATTGGGGTCAACAAGGCTGTGCGATACTAAAATAAGCAAAAAAGGGCTCTGACCGCATTGCAAGTGACCGTTTCGAGTTACTCGTGCCAATCATTTCCTCTTGACACACATCGACCAACGAGGGGAGCGCTCTAACCGCCCGAGCGTTTTAGTTGTTTCAACCGATGCCACAGTCCGTTTGATAGAATGCATTCTGTGATTCATTCACGTACTCTTCGATATTGTAAAAGAGGTAAGATCAAGATAAGTCCGGTCGCAATGGCCGTCGTTACTGCTCAATTTGAAGAGCAAGTGCTCCCAGATTCCACATTACCCGATCTTCATCTCAGCCACCCGACGGACGAGGAGAACCTTCGCATCTGGCAATTGACGTCGAATGAGTGGAAGGACGCTCTTACCATTCCTCAATATCTGGAAGAGTCTGCGTACCTCATGACAGTTCCTCTGGCTCGCAACAAGGGCATGACACAATGGATCCTGGTGGATCGAAACCTTGCGCCAAATCAACGACCGATACTCGCATCTTGCGAGACGTTTCGCAAGCTGTCACTGCTCAGTTATCCCAAAAACCCTAATCAGCTTGTGATTGTCCACGGCATTGCGAGCGTCTACTGCAATCCAGACTATCGAGGACGGGGATATGCCTCGAGGCTGCTCAAGGAGTTGAGCAACACACTCCCCACCTGGCAGTATGAGGGAAAGCCATGTGTGGCCAGTGTACTCTTCTCGGACATTCAGCCGAGATTCTATGAGAATCTGGGATGGCATCCTTTTTCTAGTGACCATATGGAATTTGAACCTGCTGTGGTACAGCACGCTGCAGTGCCTGTCTACGCTGAGGATGTAGCCAGGCTTTGTGCCCTCGACGAGATGAGACTTGGACACGCAATGTCACGTTCTTTAACAGATGATATGACCCGGTTGCTCATCCTCCCAGACCATGACCATATGTTATGGCATCACAGCAAGGAGGAGTATGTGGCGCAGCGGCTCTTCGGTAAAGCACCACTTGTGAAGGGCGCAATCAGGGGAGAACGTGGGCAATTTGTCTGGGCTATTTGGACGCACCGTTTCTATGATCACCCAGAAAAAAACGCCTCCGAAAATACACTGTATATTCTCCGGTTTGTCGTTGAGGACCCAACCCTCAGTTTTGACACTGTCGACAATCTCAGCCAATTGAGCCATGAACAGATCACGAGTGTGAGAGAGGTTTTACGAGCTGCTCAAGCAGAAGCGGCTGAATGGAATCTACGCAAGGTCACGCTCTGGAACCCGTCGCAGGCCCTGGAGAGGGCAATCCAATTATCCGGTATTCCCTTTAAGCGCATGCATCGGACCCAGGACAGCATACCCTGTCTTCAATGGTATGGAGAAGGGAGTGGCAAGCCAGATTCGCTCAATTGGCTTCTGAATGAGAAATACGGCTGGTGCTAATTAATTCACTTTCTATAAGTGTTTGGGTTATAATTCTATAGTCTAGGTCTTAGGTCTGTATACAAGACATTCTTCCTCGTACAGTACGGATTCACCATCCTTGACGATGCCTTCCAGTGGCATGGAGATATGGGCTTCTGCTTGAAATCCAAGCCTCTGGTAGAATGGTACAGCGTCCAGTGTGCTTTCCAAGGCAATAGGAAGATTCTCTTTCTTGCTGCGTTCAATTCCCCAGTTGACCAACAGGGACCCTGCTCCACGCCGGGCATAAGATGGGTCAGTCGCAATAAAGCTAAGGCCTGGGCAGCGTAAGCAGACGGCAACCTGATAACTTGGTCGCACAGAACGTACGATAGCATGGTGTTCTTCCCATTATTTCGTCCGCTGCCTGCTCGACCTTCTCTGTCCAAGCTGTCAAAATAGCCATATTGGTGCCTTCAGGCCATAGCCATGGCTCTTCTTCATATAGCGTCGATTCGGAAACAGGAAGACACCATTTGGCAAAACTGACAACTAGACCATGATCCTCTCTAACCACTAGTACCTCCCATTGCGGATCTCGAATCTCTTTGATGGCTTTGTTGACTAGCGACGTCCAGAGCCCCTTTCTCACGGCCGGCGTGGGAAACTGGGCCAGCAACATACCATTGGTGTGAAATGCCGCCATGTGAATATCGGCGATGCGAGGAGCATCTGCTTCCCTGGCTGTATCAAGAGTGAAGGCCATTTTAGAAAGCTTCAGACACGACGGAGATGTGAAATCACAGCCTCATTCCATTCTGAGGAGCGCGCCTAGAAGCGAAGGCGGCTCGTGGAATAGGCGAGTTGCGGGGTTGGCGGGGCAAGTTTATCTCAATCACAGCTGGAGGAATCAGCGTATCAACTAATGCTATTTTTGTCTCCACATCAGGATAATAAGAGGCAGGCCTGTTTGGACGGCTAGTTCATTGAAGCATTATGATTGTTGACAGCGATACTCGGGATATCTAGTGGCTTGGGATCCGAACAGCGGTTCATGACTTGATTTGCATTAGTCATGAGTTTCGATATTACTAGATTAATGCAGATACTCGATCCTCACTCCTGAGGGGTATACATTGTAATTCGCCTTGGTTACTCCCTACAACTCCAAGGCTTTCAGCTTGCAATCGGACTTGCACTATACTATACCGATGCGTTGATCCGTAAACCGATATGCCTAGTCACAGACATATGGACTTGTCCATTGATGGCTATCCCGAACTCCGTCCAACGCCGTTGAATTCCGGATCTTTTATAGGCGTGAGATAACATATTTAAACCGAGGGTAGTAGCACAGGAGATCGTAGAAAATAACACACACGGTCTCTTATTGACAATCTGGTCCCTCGTTCTACAAACAGGGGCCTGTAAGAATGGATACTTCAGCCAAGGACGACAAAGCTGAAAAGGGACAAGCAGCGTACATCGCTCCATTGTCCACAGAGCCAAACGGCGAAGCAGCGACTCAAGATGAGATCCAGGAGCTGGAACATGTCGCAGCCCGACTGCCAGCGCGGGTTTGGCTGGCCGCAACGATTGGAATGGCGGAGCGGTTTGCGTACTATGGCACGCAGAGTCTCTTCCGTAAGTGCAGAAGTTGTTTTAATTCTAAGGTGGTGCAGAGATCTGATTCTGGTACTTGAATTTTATAGAAAACTATCTCCAGAACAGCCCAGGTGATCTCATACCCGGCGCAATGGGATTAGGAAAGTCTCATGCTACCACGGTCAATTTGGCCTTTACAGTTGCGGTGAATCTATTGCCGTTGCCGGCGTCGATAGTAGTTGATGGACGTCTAGGGAGATATAAGGCTTTGCAGATATTCACTGGGTACTACTGGATTTGACTCGTACTTGTTCAGATGTCTTCTGACAACTTGTCTTGCAGAGTCTACGCTCTAGGATCCGCAATCCTGTTCGGCACCTCATTTCCCTCGGAAATGAAGAGCGGCGTTTCTCTTATAGGATTTATCTTGGGGAGCATTCTGATTGCTGTGGGACTGGGAGGTGTTCAAGCTTCAGTGCAGCCGTTTATTGGTAAGATGCTCAGCGTTACATTTACCAGTTACTGAGGATGACACTCACTGCTTCTTCAGCGGACCAATATACAGAGCAAACTCTGCGGATAAGAATCAGAAAGAATGGTCAGCGAGTGGTAGAGAGCCGCGAACTGACCATCCAGTATATCTACAACGTATACTATTGGTACGAAGAACTGATAGTGTCAAAGACGATGACTCCTTTATTGACTGGCATGGCTCGTCATTCTAGGATGGTGAACGTCGGCTCACTGGGAAGCATTGCTACCACTTTGATGGAGAAGTATATTGGATTCTGGTCAGCGTATCTGCTGGATCTGTGTGCTGTGGTACTTGCCGTGGTGATTGTCCTTTTAGCGAGACCAAAGTTTGGTATGAGACACTTGTCGTATGTCAGGTATTAATAATTGCTGATCCCGGAATTTGACAGTACATCCTGTCCCACAAAGGTCTGTTCTTCCCCGTGCATCTCGCTGTCTATGGTATGCTGCCCGGGGAGGATTCAGCCTGGACGCTGCTCGGCCAGAGTACCAGTTAGAGAAGCACCAGCGAGTGGTGCCATGGGACAAGGAATTTATTTCTGATCTTCGAGGTGCACTGTCTGCGTTCAAGATCTGGTACTCCTCTCCAATCCCGGCTCCCTTCGCGATATAGCTGCTGACGGCAGCAGCATTGGATGGCCCATTTTCTGGGTATGTATGGGACAGGGTGCTCAAGTCTCCATCTCGCAAGCCGGACAGATGGAAACTCACGGCATCCCCAATGACCTGATTAAGTCGTCGAACCCGATCGCCTACGTGATCATCGGCGTGCTCGTCCAGAAACAGCTCTATCCTTTTCTCCGACGACGCAAAATCCACTTCAGCCCCGTCAACCGCATCAGTCTGGGATTCTTCATCATGTCGGTCGCCATGGGGTATTCCGCAGTCGTGCAGGTAGTCATCTATCGCTCCGGTCCCTGCTACTCCCATCCACTGTCGTGTGCCGCGTCGGGCGGCCGCATCCCTAACCGAGTGCATGTCCTGCTTCAGTTGCCGACGTTTGTGATCATCGCGCTGGCTGAGGTGTTTTGCTGGCCGACTGGTTCAGAATATACGTATTCGCATGCCCCGAAGAGTATGAAGTCGGTTCTGCAGGCATGCTATATCAGCACCGCCGGAGTCGGATATCTGCTAGGAATGGCTTTGTCGCCTCTGGCTAAGGATCCTTTACTTGTGGTGCTATGGTCTTTGACGGCCGGGATGATGTTCCTGACGGCCTGCGCTTTTAGGATCGCATTCTGGAAGTCCTAGGTATCGATATTCTCAGTGCAGGTAGCATAAAAGAGAAAGTGACAGTACATGGATGAATGGACAAGAGTACCTAGTTAACTAGATAGCGTTCTCAGCCCTCGAAACAAATCATGTTCGGGCTCCAGCATTGCGCGCCTTGACTTGCGCGGATATAGACAATAATGCTGGACCATGAAAATGATCGCAAAGATACAGTGATATTTCCAAGCGCAAGCTTCAGAGCAATCCCCCTCGTGCCCGACCGGTAAGGAAGCATCAATGAATTATATCAGATACCATTCGCCCTTTCCCCATCTTTCTTTCCAGGAAACCGCTGAAGTGCAACAAGCTGCTTGTCTAGAAGGGTGAATGTCCTGGGCGCTACCCCTTCGGCCTCATCATAGACAACGTCAAAACACACGTTACCCTTGGCTCGTATCCTCGTCTCGGTGGCGATAGTGACGACCATATTCACAACATCCCGTGCCTGAACACTGAGCGTGTCGCCTTGGGGCATGTCAACGTCCCAGTACACTTTCTGGAAGGAGTCATTGCGTCCCTTATTCGCCTTTGGTAGAGTAAGATCAAATATCAAGTGAGATAATGGTGGGACTTTCATTGTTGCCTTTCTCCACGCCTTACTGAGGGGCCGGATATCCAGAAACTCGCGAGTAGAACTGCCACCAGAGAGACTTGTGGATATGCGAGTGACGCGAGAATCTGGATTACGGCAGGCTGCAAGCGTATCGGGGTTGGCTAGAGGCTGTAGTAAAACCAACTTCACCTTCTGCGTCTGCGGTGCTGGTTCTGGTGGAGCCCCCGAGCCCCCAGTGCTGAGGCTAGACAGCCCAGCGGTAATATGGATCTCATGCAGATGATCAGGGTCGGTGATAGTTTCTACTTCAGACATATTGAAGATCAAAGAGGGGGGAATCGAGCTGAGTCAAGAATAATTTGACTCTATTGATGCACAGATGTCAACATTGATTGAAGAGGGGTAACCACTAAATGCAGGTGGAGAAAGGCACTGCCACATGGTACAATCTGATCCCGCGTGGAGTGTGACCTAGGCACGTACATCCTATACAATATATCATCTATATCATGGACCTGACCAGGGCCCCCTGTAAATCATATCAAGTAATCTCCTTGCGATTTCTGAACAACCACCCCCGCTCCAAAGACGAATGTCCTCCTCATCTCCTTCCGCACTAGCCACAAGAGAAGCGTTAAGCTCAGCAACTTTATGTATAGCATCATCATACTTTTCGTTGCTGATGCAGCCATCTTCATCTACACCGCCAATTTGGTCCCGCCCATAACTCACGACCTTATCCAGTCAAACCACAGTTGTTCGAGCTCATGAAAGCCAACCAATTCAGCGTCGGTGAACTGCACCGGGCACGAAAGCCCCTTTGTGTCGGGTAAATGAACATCGAAGGTTAGGAGGAAAACTCGACTGGATTCCCCTTCAGCGAGTTTCGTAAGGCACTTACCATGCCCGTGGCAATGGCCGATAGTGTTCTGCCTCTCGTAGAAGAACATTGGGGTTGAACTCGACGTAGCGCTCACGTAGTCGAATGTTCTCATTGTAAAGAAGTCTACAAGAGGTATATGGGAAAAGATCTTGATTAATCTGACGAACCTACAAGAGAGTTGCGTTAGTACCTGACGGTTTGAGAGTGGAGGTACTGGATACTGACACAGGAAACCGGAGTGTGAGTGGAATGAAAACTCACACAGAAATGGCAGAGAATAGTGTTGGTTCTTCGGGAACCTTTTTCAAGCCAATGCTCAAATTGTGATGTTAAATGCCGGAAACTTCCTTAAAGGCATCAAGAGCGTCCGGAAATTCAAACCAGCTGTGGATGCAATGAGTCCTCCGCCATGATGGATAACGGTTCAAGCAAGTGAGTTCTCTTGAAGAATATTTGGATATCCGTTGGAAGCAGTCATACTGCTATTGACATATGTTTCCTAATAACCGCCAAGATAAGCAGCTACAGCTTAAGGACTAAGCAGGTGGGATAGAGAAAGGGAGCAGAAGTCAGGACTGAGCTATATATATATATATTTAATCTAGAGATGCAGCGATGCTTTTGAAAGCCTATTTAAGAACGGATAAATAGTGTAGTGGAAACCATAATTCAACTTGATTCTCTTGTAGCAAATTTAACCGTGTAGCTTAGTTCGTGCTGCTCATTGGCCATCCATCTCACTGTTGGGGCAGTTGAAATTGAAAGAGACTTACAGCGAACAGAATAGACTAGATAACTAGGACAAAGAAAATGAGGAGAAGTCTACCGGATTAATAATACACTAACCGAGCCTAGCAGGAACCGAGCAGGTTAGATTCCTTGCAATGGGCTGATCATTTCCTATTTCTGTGTACGATGCGCAAGGCTGAGCCCGGTATCTTTACTCCCAAGCCTCGGAGCTGATCACCCGTTATGGGTCGTACAACCTTTTTATGAATGAGATAGGAGTACTATGGCGAACTACAGCTGACTGTAGTACAATAGAAGGCTATTTACATGGCTGAAAGGAAAATCATGAGACAGAATCAATTGCTGGAAATGTTAAGGAGGACGGAGTAGATCGTTATCTACGTAGTACTCTGGTTGATTCAAAATAACCATGAACGGGTCTCAGAAGGCCCAACAGCGCCCAGACTGCGTGGCTTAGGTCCAGAGCATTTCCATTGGTCACATATTTCAGCTCGACTGCTTATCCCTGCTGATCGTGACAGTTCAACCTTGGAGGTACATTAATCCTACGCTTCCGGTGACAGTGGCACAGTCCGCTTTTCGGTCCTACGCCCCAAGAGCATCGATAGCAGCGTAATATAGGTGTTCCCGGACATTTCCTGGCAATCTTGCATTATGAACTCAACTACAGTCACTTCCATCCATCACTTTCCCTACTGTCGCTTCAGATAATTCAGAACTGCCGTCATGGCGTCCGAATCGCAGCAGTCGAAGCAATATCTTCTGCCTCCCTTGTCCGAGTTGCTTCGTCGAGACGAGACCACTGACAATAATAGTCACAATGACAATGAAGACGATTCATTCCCACCCAAATCGTGGAATCCCTTTGACCGCAGTCCTTCGCCGGACCGCGACTATATCCGCTATCAACCCGCCTCTTCTACGAACGACGATCCCGTTTCACCACCAGCACAACGCGAGTCCACGTTTGGCTTAGGAATCACCAATACCTTCCCACAATCCCCCTATAAGAGCCCTGACGATGCTGGTGATGCTGAGGACGGTGACCTCGCGACCAAATCCCCGTATCCAGAACCCTCGGAGCCCTCGCCATTACAGTACCAGACGTCGCGGACGACCCTACTGCCGAATTCGCCCGAATACGTAAAATGTCCAACACACCAGGGAATAGTTCAGAAGCGATTGTCGTGGGTTCCCATCACTATTCTGGTTCTGGCGATCTACTCCACCATCTTCTCCGGCATCTATCTGGTGGTCGCGCTGGTCAAACCACGCTATGGCAAAAGGGTCAGTGAAGACGGTGGCCTCGCGCCTTCCACAGCCAGTCTCCTTAGTGCGCTGTTCGCTAAAACAATCGAGCTCTCATACGTGACTGTCTGCGTCGCGTTCCTGGGGCAAGTCTTGAGTCGTCGAGCTATCACCAAGGGGTCGCGGGGGATTACTATCTCTGACATGAGCATGCGCACCTGGATCATGCAGCCAGGGTCTCTGATTGTGCACTGGGAGACTGTGCGGTACTCAGCGCTCACGGTATTGGGTTTGATCACGTTGACGGCGACGTTGGTAGCGATGCTTTATACCACGGCAGCAGAGGCGCTAGGTGGGTTTTGCTCTGATGAAAATAGATGTGCAAACTGACAGTAATAGTTGCGCCCAAACTGCGGATGGGCCCCGTCGAACCTCGGGTCTTGGTCGGAAACGTGTCCACCGAATTCGGCAATCCGAAATACCTCGAAACTCATTGCTCGACCCCCATTACTCAGGCCATGGACCCTGAAGCGGTGGGAAGTACCTGTATGGACCTGGAACTGGTCGGCCAGGCGTACCATAACTACCAGGCATACATCTCTGCATGGAGCGACCTGGTCAAGAGCAAGAACCGGACATCATCAAACCTGGCATCGCGGCCGCCCCCGACCGGCTCGCTGTACGATAACACCACCGTGACAGGAAGCTGGATTGATATTGGCAACATGACCGAATTGTCAATGAAGCACGGCCGAATGGTAAACAACATCACCGCTGCGATGCCCCATGGAGGAATCATCGCCGCCGCGACCGACCCGCGGAACGGCATCCGCCAGCCGGTCGATGTGACCGGCGAAGGAAACTTCGAGATCGAGGCCTCCGTGCCGTCTCCGGCCATCAATGTGCTCTGTGTCGGGATGACGGAAGAGGAGCTCACCCCCTTGGTATACGAGAGGTGGCCTCATGTGCACCACTTTGACTCACTGAAATGGGATTTCGAGGGATACCGAAACGTCCCGGTCGACTGGTTTAATCGAACGGTCGTGGATGACCTCTTCGGGTGGGACCCCGACGCCGACGCCGCGGTAAAGCAGACGCCTCCTGTGTTCGGCAAGCTGCCCCAAGCCAACAATACTATCACCAATGGCACTGGCCTCTGGCCCACAAACGCCATGTACATGCTAGGAGCAGCCCCGAATGAAGTCATGACACCGCCGTATGTGCTATGTGCACTCAAGGCGAAATTGTCGCCCGTGTGTTCGACCAAGTATTCAGCGGCCGCCAGTGGAGCTTCGTTTTCAACCAACTGTGAGAATCCGGCGAATCCGTTGCAGTATAACCATCGCAATCAGGGCGCCCGTGACGGACTTTGGGATGGCAGCTGGAAGAACGTGGCTGATGAGTGGGCCAAATCATTGAGTTTGAATTCGGGTATCACAGACGGCCGTGCCAGCAACGCTCGCCTCCTGATGCAGTTCATTCCGGCCCTCGATAATCGAACAAAGACCTATTCGCTTGACCCCAAGTTACCATCGATTGGGGAAGCGCTTGCGGTTCTGGCAGGCAGTACCCTAATCCTTGGGTCGATGAATGCCCCTTTTGTGCAATACTTCAACTACACCAAGACCGATAACGTATCCAACGCACTTGCCGAGCCCGTTCCGCAATACTTCGAGGCCACAGTTCGCGCCGTGGGATATGCTTCAGGGGGCACGGAGCAATGGCAGAACGTGTTCTATCTGATCCTGGTGTTTGCATTTTTGACAAGCGCCATCATTCTCGCATTCATGCTGTTCGAGGTGCGTGGACGGCAAATCACCGACTTCACAGAACCTCAAAATCTGTTCGCGCTGGCGATGAACAGCCCGGCCACCGCGCAGCTGCAAGGGGCATGCGGGGCCGGACCGCACGGTCGTCAGCTGAACGAGCGCTTCTATGTGGCTATGGAGGAAGAGGATGAGCATTATTACATTCGGACCAAGGCCGAACAGCATGTGCGTCCGCCATCGATGAGACCCAGTCGCTCCATGGCCTCAATGGAAGTCGACGATATGCCAAAGGCTGTCAGTCCAGCCACGGATGAGTACCGGCGGCTTTCCAGTAGGAGCAGTCTTTTGTCGAGATTTTATTAATGTGCATATTATAACCCAGCGAAACGATTTGTTGGTGACGAATGTAATGTTGATGTCATCAATCTCTATGTGGTTTTGAGGTTGATTCCAGGAAACACCATACTGTACAGTAGCTAGGATGCCACGGGTGCACCATTGATAAGTTTGATCAAGTGACATGCATATGAACGCTAGTCTTTGACTTAAAATACTAGTGCTCCATAGGGAGATCGAGATCTACCCGAGAAACGGACGAACTTAATAATGATATGCCCTTGAACAATGCAGAACAGGGGATTAAAACCGCTCGAGCGGACTTAGCC